ATAGCAATTCTGTAATAAGAAATTTCCCCAAAAGCACCTTAAAAATGAGGGCCTTTTGTTCATTTAAGTCATTGCTTTGCAAACATTTACAGTTTTTTCCCCACATTAAACCTTTTTTTTTTTTTTTTAACGTTTATTTATTATTGAGACAGAGAGAGACAGAGCATGAGCAGGGGAGGGGCAGAGAGAGGAGGAGACACAGAATCCGAAGCACGGTCCAGGCTCTGAGCTGTCGACACAGAGCCCGATGTGGGGCTTGAACTCACAAACTGCGAGATCATGACCTGAGTTGAAGTTGGATGCCCAACCGACTGAGCCACCCAGGCGCCCCAAACCTTTTTTTTTTTTCAATTAAATTCCATAGCTTCTCTCTCTATTAAGAAACAAAGCATCGGGGCGCCTGGGTGGCGCAGTCGGTTGAGCGTCCGACTTCAGCCAGGTCACGATCTCTCACTCCATGAGTTCGAGCCCCGCGTCAGGCCCTGGGCTGATGGCTCGGAGCCTGGAGCCTGTTTCCGATTCTGTGTCTCCCTCTCTCTCTGCCCCTCCCCCGTTCATGCTCTGTCTCTCTCTGTCCCAAAAATAAATAAAATGTTGAAAAAAAAAAATTAAAAAAAAAAAAAAAAAGAAACAAAGCATCAAGGTAAATCTACAGTTAAACCTCTAACTCAGACTATAAGGTGGTATCTTATACCAGTTATGGAATTTCTTTCACGCAGAAGACCTGTTAGTGAAGCTAATTATACAACTAGCCCACAAAATTAATTTTTATCTGTCATTGATCAAACTAAACCTGGGAGAAGTCAATTTATAGTACTTTAAACTCTAAGGCAAGGCAACATCAAATTATTGCCTTTCAAGAAGAAAGGTCAAGAATAAAAACAAATAGCAGCGCCTGAGTGGCTCAGTCAGTCAAGTGTTCAACTCTTGGTTTTGGTTCAGGTCATGATTTCATGGTTTGTGAGATGAAGCCCCTCAAGGGCTCCAGGCCGACAGGGAGGAGAGTGCTTGGGTTTCTCTCCCCCTCTCCCTGCCCCTCCCCCACTCATGCTCCCTTGTGTGAGCATGCATGCTCTCTCTCTCAAAATACACTTAAAAAAAAAATAGAATAAAAACAAATGTAATGTAATTTATTTTGCATACTTAATTTCTTTTGTAGAGAAAGTACTTTCAGGGAGCTGTAGATGAAAACACTAGTCAAGTAGGGTATAAAAACAATAATTTAAACATAAGCTTTAATACTTATGAAATAAGGCACAAAAACTTCATGATTTGCTTAGAGAAGTGAGCTTACAAAAGAAATCTTTAAGAAAGCAAACAAACAGAAAAGTTCATAAAGTATAGGCTTTCAAAACTCATGGGAATAAAAAATTAATAGGCATGTGTAGAGACTAAGATGGTAAGTATAGGCAAAATATTCAAGGATAAAATCTGGGAAAAAAACAAACTGTTGGAAAATAAGGTAAAGAACTAGCTTTCAGTTAGGATTGAACAACTCATCTCTTATTTCAACCATCACCCAACAACTAACTGAATTGAATTATGCTTCCATTCTTACATCTTATCAGGTATAAACAAATTTGCTTAATTATATAACATATACTTATTTGAGAAGCAAAGTTAACTTAATAAAATTTTGTTTGATTTTATGATTTGATTCTTTGCATGTCTGTATTACTAGTAAACATGAGATTTCACAAGGATTAAATGCAAGATTATTTTACTTTGGAAAAAATAACTATTATACTGAGAAAAACTGACATGCTCCTTTATCTATCCCAGTTTAGTTCAGTTACAAATAATAACTTATCATCATTGTATACGTGTGTGAATACAAAGACAGAGTACTGATTCTGTGGTTTGGAACTACAATAGCCATTTGAAAAGTTCATTGCCTTTTGTAACCACACCTTTTAGACACAGGAACTGTCAAAGAGTATTTGCAATACATCATCAAGTGTTAACAGTGAAATTTTCTGATTCAAATAGCAATGATACATTACAAACTCATCAACTCATTATTGTAACATTTTCAAGAATGGAGAAAATAAAAGTATTATCAACTCTCAGCGCTTCTCTATTTCTGAAGAATTAAAACTTAACATTAACTCAAATGGGTATAATTGGGTATTCTAAAGTGCCAGTACCAGAAAATCTTTTACTAGTTGGCAAGGCATGGAAGTGCATTTCTTCTGCACAATTTTAGGAAAAGTTTTTTCAATTTTGTAAAATATTCTGCTACTGCCATATAAGACTCCCCAAAGGAGCATCCAATCATACTGTGTTCGTTCACTATTCAGCATAAGGTATGGCTGCCTTGAACCCTGGCCAGGCATTAGTGTCCGAAGACTTCATAATACAACTCTTCATGCTAAACTCAAATCTGTCTACAGGTACAAACTGCAAAGACACTAGTATGTATGAAGACCAATACATTTTCAAAAGTGCCTGAAAAGCTAAAGAACAGTGTGTCTGGTATATTATTTCACAGAAAAGAAAAACCCAAGTATGGATAAATATTGAGAATTAAAAACAACAACAAAATTGTAGTCCGCCTGTGGCTGAATGAATTCAACTGACTTACTTAATCTTAACTCTGCAAGAGTTGCTTGTCAGCAGCCTGATAGCACACTGAATATGGATATCAGGTATATAAACCAGACCTTGAAACATGTATCAACTAACTAAAATTTAAAAGATACTAGGAGAATTTATCACTACAACAATTTACCACATACTTTCTCCCCAAAATAATTCACTTGAAATATATTCCACAAACATGTGGATTTTAACGCATAAGTAAAAACCTTCTATAAAATAAACAACTCTTCGGTATCTGGTAACCAACTTCCCACATACCTTTTAATTTAAAAATGGCTAGCTGCAAACTTTACCAATTTAAGCCCCTACATAAATGAAAACTCCCTTAAAAAAAAAAAATTAAAAAAAAAAAAAAAAAAAGAAAACTCCCATAGTGCTCCTCTGCCTCACAGAGCAAGTTTTCAGGCTGCAACATCTTGTGCGTATAAATAACAAACTCATTCTTTTAAGCATGAAAATGTTAATATTTAATAATACATACTATGTGTTAAACACAATCAATGGTAGGGCCTTTATATACTCATCTCTAATCCTGGCAACTCCAAGAGTTAAGTGCTATCATCCCAATTATATAGATGAGGAGATTGAACTGAAACTAACAAAAGGATCCCACACTAATCAGAGAATGCACAAGCCTCCTATATTTTCATCAGTTCTTTCTGTACATGAAGTATATGAAACCCGAAAGCATCAATTCTATAATTTATCAATTAACCAGCAAGTTTTAGAAAAGACTAAGTTAAGCAATGGGTACTTTGTGGGGGAACGGAGGGAACTTACCTTTCAGGGTTACGTGTTCTCATATATATATATATATATATACATATATATATATATATATTTTTTTTTTAGCATATCCTGAATCTATGGATCTATGTAATTCTGTATGCAAGCGATTTAGTTATGGAACAGGTAAGATCATTAAGCCAGTAGGGTGTCCCTAGACCCAAAAGAAATGTTCTGTCAAAACTCTGATTATTCTTCAGAACCAAGTTTACTCTGGTAACAAGTTGAGCCTCAGAAGTGTGCCTAAAATGTTATCCTTGACACAGTCAGGTCTGCTACACATTACAGAATCCATTATTTAAGGACATATTCACCCAAGCAAAAAACAACAACAACAAAAAAAAAAACCACCCAACAACAACAACAAAAAAGGTGTGAAAAGATGAGCACCTAATCAGTATGTGAGGAAGAAACATTTGCTCTCAAAAATAGTGCAATATACCAAATTTTATTACAATGTGTTCAATTACTCCAGTTACACTGGTATTCAACCATATTAAATATTACATAGACCTTACTCTTTCCAATATTACAAACAGGTTAGCTTCCAGTTAGACTTTAACCACCTTTTCATTACTCAAAAAGTTTTTGTTATCAATGACATCTAAGCCAAAAGCAAATGGTTTCTTCAGAATTACAACTAGGTAAACTAAAACCATGGAGGTTTAAATCTACATGCACATATTTCCTGGAAAATCTTACCAGAAAAATCATCTGCTGTTTACTAAGACTACTTGAGCAAGCACCTCTTCACCTTTTACTTAACTTTCTTGCTATCCCAGGACAATTACACACGGGACAAGACAGCCTCAACAATTTGTTCCCACATAAAAGCAAGCTCAAAAAGCAGAGGCACTCTCCTCTGCACCTAGTAACAAAAAAAGAGAACAAAAAACTTCAAAAACACAGGTTTGAGCCTTGGGCTCAACCATAATGTGTGTAAATCCGACCCCCGGGGTCCGTGGCACTGACAGTCATTCAACTTTCTTTTCAATATTCCCATTGTGCTTTTTCTGGTGCCACAGGCAAGATGTGCCTACATTTTTCACCAACTGGTCGGAACGCCTGATTTTCTTTCTAAAAATTCTCCCAGTGCGAGGCCGGGGGCCGAGGCGTGGTGTGGGCCGGGGAGCCGGAGGCACCGGCGCCAGTCACCCGAGAGAGCAGAACCACGCACGGCACCCGCTCCTGGCAGGCCTGCTGTGGCTGGTTCCTGAGTCCCTGGGGCTGCAAGGGCAGCAAGCAACAGCCATGGCAGGGACTCAGGAACCTTTCCCCTGCCTCCTCCGCTAGGCCTCGAGGGGTTTGCTTTTCACATGGCCCCCGGGTGGGGGCGGTGGGCACAAGGTAGTGGATGCAGCTGCAGCCGCAGCGGCGGGCCAGGCGAGCCGAGCTCCCTCGGAACCCGACCTCCCGGCGGGCTGGCAGCAGCAGCACCTCGGCGGGGCCCTGGCTGGAAAAGCGATGGCTCGGCGGGGAAGGCCACCTTCTCACACACATCTCTCCCCTGCCTGCCTCCTTCTCCGTTAGCCCTACCGGTTGGCGGGCGGGGGAGGGGAGCGAGGCGCGTTATTCCCGGGGAGCTGGAGGGGGGAGGGGAGGGCATCTCTTACCCGCGTTACTGAGGAGGAGGAGGAGGAGGAGGAGGAGGCGGTTGGAGCGCGGCGCGGCGGGGCGACGGCGGGGCTGGGTGGGTGCAAGTAAGAGTCTTACGAAAGGGAATTAACCCCATCACCAGCCCGGACACCGGCTCCAGCGGCAGCCGCGGCTGGCAGAATCCCGCCCCTTCCCACCACGCACTAGCCCCGCCTCTTCGTTCTCTTTGAGGAGCAGCCGACAAATCATAGGTTATACATCCTCCGAGTGACATGAGGATCACCCAATCAGGCCTGAAAAAACTGCCTTCTCTCCACCCCTTTATCTCCTCCCGGGCCGCGGGAGAGCCGTGCCAAGTCTTCCTCCACCCTCAAGGGAAAAAGAACCAATCAGTGGTAAGTAACCGCCCTTGAAGGACGCAAAGGACAACCAATGGTAAAACTAAGAGGACAGCCATTTTGCCCACTTGTAAAAAAAGCCACCTTTTCCCACGAGTTGGGAGCCTGAGGTGGAGGAGTTCTGGGAGTTTTACTGACCTGAAGATATTGGAAGGACAACCGTATTTCTTCAAGGAATATTTATAGAGCTTTATAGGAATAAATAAACATTATCATCCTCCATGTGGAGGGAAGTGAGGAAAACTGTTTAAGGGCTTGGCTCCTCCCTTTAGCGGTAACGGGTTTTAAGTTGAACACCTGGTTTCTCCAGCTTCAGTGGGAGAAGGCGGGGTTACTGCTGTGTTCGGTCTGCAGGCGACTACACTTCCCAATGCGCTTTGCCCCCACCTCTGTCCTCTCCTACTTTTACTTCTCCTGGGGCCTGACGGGAATTGTAGTTCCTGGGAGGTACGAATGGCATCTTGTTGGCCAATGAGAGGGAATAAAATGTAAAAGATTTGGAGTTTGGGGCGGGGAACCAGTTTCAAGTCTGTGGCGAATCCTTTTCGCCACCCTAACAGAAGAGGGAAGGCAGAAAACGGTAGTCAGAGAAGAGTTTTCTCAGAATGCCGTAGGGCTTTTAGATTCCTAGTATTTTAACTTTCTTACTTTCAGTTTGGCCCTTTGAAGTCATTTCCGCTTTGGGGCGGACGCGAGCCAAACCTGTGGCGGGAGTTGGACATTCTGCAGCGAATACACCAGGTGTGGCTTTCGGAGTGGCGTGGCGGGCAAGTCGGTAGTTTTTTGCTAGGGAGATAGGAAGTTGAACGACATGTAATTGTATTTTAGGAAAGAGTGGGTAATATGGGATGGCGGTAGTTCCGAGGTTCATAATGCCATAATGCTCCCCTAATCTTCAATCCCAGAGTCCCAAATTGCTTATCTTTTGATTGCTCACTATTAGATTGCACACATGTGTTTGTGGAGGGTGCCTCTAAGGTTTTTAGCCGCTTTGCATGCATGAAGCATGGCTTCAGGTCTTCCTTTTGACTGAAGACGGGCTCAGAAGTTCTGAGCTAACAACTCCCACTTTTACAAACACACTTCTAAACGCTGGTTGGAAGGAGATAAACTACAGAAGGGCACAGGATTGATACTCAAAAATGGTCAATTACATTCTTTTTTTTTTTTTTTTGAGTTAAGCATCAGTGTTGTGGGTCCAACAGAGCATGATCTCTTGTTTTTTTTTTGGTTGAGTTTTTAATCTTAATTTGAGTTAACACACAGTATTACTTTCAGGTGCATAATATAGAGCTCTTGTTTTTTAATGCAGTTGAGATTTTCAGTATAGGCTTCTATAGATGCTCAGTATCGTTTTTTCGTTTTGTGATGAGTTTTTCCAGTATAAATCAAGTTAAGAACTAGTAATTATGGCCATTTTATTGGGTGTTTCCTCAGCCAGGAATGATATTAAGTGCTTTAAGTTTTTCCTGCAGGTATTGTTATATGACGTTTATATTTGAAGAAATTGGTGTTGAATGACATTCTTTAAGACTTTAAGACCTTGATCAGTTAACTTTGGAGCTGAGATTTGTATCCAAGTCTGTCTCATTCCTGATCTCTTAATCACTAATCCTGTTTCTCAAGTATTTATTGATTCCCCAAGATGTGCTATAGACACATAGGGGGTGAGAAATGTAGAATTCCATTCTAGAATTCTGAAACCAGTGGTGGCAATCACTTCTTTTTTTTCAAGTATCCTTTGTTAAGTACATAATATGTGCTCATTGTATTTAAAAAGACAGGCAAATATTGAAAAGAAGGTCATCTGTGATACTATTATCCAGAGATACCACCGTAAAATTTTGGTGACTATCTTTACATATCTCTCTATTGTAAGTACAGACATTTGCTTGCATGTTCTCACACTACCTTGCTTTCTTGTAAACTTTTTTTTTTTAGTTCAACAGTAGGCTGTGGATGACTAGATATATATTAATATTATCATTTTTTATTGCTATCTAGTATTAAATTGTGTGTCTCTAACATAACCAAGTCCTACCTGATGGATATTTACATTATTTTTTATTAACTTTGATTGTGGTAAAAAACCTAAAACTTATCACCTTAACTGTTTTTAAGTAGTGTTAAGTATATGCAGCTTGTTATTTAATAGATACCTGGAACTTTTTCATCTTGCAAAACTGAAACTGTACTTTTTGTACCAACAACTCCCTTTTCCTCCTCCCACAGCCCTTGGCACTCACCATTCTACTTTGTTTCTAAGCATTTGGCTACTTTAGATACCTCTTAAAAGTGAAATCACACAGTATTTGTCCTTTGCCTTATTTGACTTATACATCGCGTCCTCAAGGTTCATCCATGTTGTAGCATAGGACAGGATTTCCTTTTTCGTGGTCGAATAATATTCCCAATGTATGTATATACTGCATTTTGTTTATCCATTCATCTGCCAATAAACATTTAGGTTGCTTCTGCCTTTGGACATGGGTGTGCACATACCTCTTCAAGATACTGTTTTCATTTCTTTTGGATATATGCCCAGAAGTGGGATTGCTGGGTCAATTATTAACTTTTAAAAGGAATCCTGTTGTGAGCAACATCTTTATATGCTTGCCTGATTATCCTGTAAATCTAACTTTTTAGAAGTAGGTTATTTAACCATAAATACTCCATAATTCCTAAATTGCTCTTCAGAAATGTGCCCATTCACTTTCTTACTGTGTTTGAAAGCACCCAGTTGCCATCTTGTAGTCTATCCCATCTGATTTCAAAAAGTGGTTCTTCATTGCTTTGTTTGTAATTGAATTCAGTTGATATTGAGCATCTTTTATTGTCCGTTGTTTAATCTCATGAATAGCCTGTTGTTATCATAGTCTCTTAATAGTTTTTTTGTTTGTTTTGAGAGAGAGAGAGAGAGAGAGAGTACCCGTGAGCAGGGGAGAGGGCAGAGAGAGAGAGAATATTCCAGTCAAATGCTCTACCCGAGAGAGAGAGAATATTCCAAGCAGGCTCCATGCTGTCAGTGCAGAGCCCGGCGTGGGGCTTGAACCTACCAACCCTGAGATTGTGACCTGAACTGAAACCAAGAGTTAGACATTTAACCAATTGAGCCACCCAGGCACCCTTAGTCTCTTAATTTTAAAGAAATTACTACGTAGGTTTTTAACTCTTTGTCATATATTTTGCAAACCCTTGACTCCCATTTTTAGATTTGTCTTTTTAACTTCTAATGCTGTTTTTCCATGACATAGTTTTAATTATTTTACTCTTGAAAAATATCTTTTTTCCATTATAGTTTCTAGTTTGTGATGCATAGGAAAGCATTTGTGATGCTTAGAAATTAGATAATAAAAAATAATATTTATACATAATTTAAAATTTGTTCTTACATTTAATTTTACAATTTATATATACTTGATTTTGTTTGGACCCTGTTCGTTTTCATTGTTCTGTCTTTGACCTGTACCATACCCACTATCTTAATTTCTGTAACTTTATAATATGTTTTGTTATTAAGTAGGTAAAGTGTGCTTCCATTCTTCTTCTTTAGATATTTTCTTGCTATTCTCACATTTTCTGGTTTTTTTTAAATGTTTATTTATTTTGAGAGAGAGAGAGAGAGAGAACCCAAGCAGGCTCTGTGCTGTCAGCATAGAGCCTGACGTGGGGCTCGAACTTAAAACCTGTGAGATCATGACCTGAGACGAAATCAAGAGTCAGTTGCTTAACTGACTGAACCACCCAGGCGCCCCCTGTTTATTTTTTTTTTAAGATAGATTTTGGTATCATTTTGTCAAATTTAAAGTCCATCTCTGCAATTTTATATTTGAGTAAAATACATGTGTGATATTCATATAGATACTGACTGCTACTTAAAGACAAATATTTTATTTTAATACAGAAATTTTGATAGATACAGTCAAGGCTTAATGGGGCTCTCAGTGCTTTGTCAGAACATGTTTTTATTACGGATTTGGGTATAAACGCTTACAGTTTGAAAGCGTGTCCAATTTTTAAAAAATATATAATTAAGCTTATTTATTTTGAGAGAGACAAGTGGGGGAGGGGCAGAGAGAGAGGGAGACAGTATCTGAAGCAGACTCTGCACTGACAGCAGAGAGCCTGGTGTGGGGCTGGAACTCATGAACTGTAAGATCATGACCTGAGCTGAAGTCGAATGTTTTACTGACTGTGCCACCCAGGTGCCCCTATAATCACTTTTTTTTTTTTAAGAGGCTTGCATTTTATAGGTGGTTTCCAGTAGAATCTGATGACTTCTGTATGGTAATTACAACATCCCACTGTACCTCATAGCCTTTTCCAAGTCCTTCGAATTCAACATGTGCCCTAAACCTGTTCTTCTCATTGTCCTCTCATTTGTTTATTTAGTCAAGAAATATCTATTGAACATCTGATAAGAGAAGTGCTGGTTAATAGTCAAGAGGATGGGCTCCAGGCTCCCTTGGTTTGATTCTGGGTTTGGCCAGGTACTTGTTGGATGACCTTGTGCAGATTAGTTGACAATCTGTGCCTTAATTTTTTTTTTTTTAATCTATAAAATTGAGATAATACAATACCTACACCACAGATTATTGTGAGGTTTAAATGACTTAATAAATGTAAAGTATATAAAATAGTGCCTGGCTTATAGTAAATATGTGTTAGTTTTATAAATATTGTTGTTTATTGACCTGGCTGATACTAGAGTGCTGAAGTAAAATGATAAATAAGACAGTTTATAGTTCTTGACTTTATGAAGGCATTTCAGTAAGAGGGAAAGACAAAATTCA